TGTGATTTTTTTCCCTCTTAGGTTTCCCATAATAGTTTAATTTGGAAATGCTTGTTCTTGTGAAGTTTTACCTAGTCTCACAAATAAGCATGCACACTCCTTATTAGCAGACACCAACCTTTTTTTGGTCATGCATAGTGAACAGTGCATGTTCAGATGATACTTTGTGGCTAATGGGTTAGAGACTTCTGAGACAGTAATAAAGTATTACCTCTTGGAGTCTAAGCAATATCTTACCTCACTTGATGATTTCCTATTGTAATTTCTGAAATCTGGGGAAAATTAATGGATTTACCACCTTTAAAACATAATCTAATAATAAACTCCCTTATTTGGCCTGCTCCTTCTCCAGCTGCCCCTTCTGAGAAACACACCGCAGTAGAGTGGTTTACATTATCAACTTCTAAACATTTCACTGTGCTGCTTTGGAAATGTCAGTTCCGTTTTGCAAATCAGTTAGGTCTCCATTCAGATCAAATGAGACTTCTTGTCATTGTGGCTGCCATTTACATTCTACATCTCTTTAGCAGGTTCTCATTCCTCAGCCCCCTCTCAATAAACCTGAAACAATTTAAAAACTGCTTACAAGTAGATATTTTAATAACAATGGGGACAAGCAACTCCTTGAGGAGGAAATCTAGGTGAAAAACATGTGGAGGTACATGGAAATTTCTTCCACATGGCATAAGAAACTCTTAATGGAGCAGATTAAATTGTTTTTCACTAATCTAGAAGATGTCATTGGCTGAGATTCTGTGAATGTGTTTCTGTGTTTGTGCGTCTTGCTAATCTTTCTGGTTGTTCATTTCTATCAGACAATCAAATTCAGGCTAAATCTAAGAAGGAGCACCAGAGACTCAGTGAGCATGTCTCACAGCCCCAAATTAGGGCACTTGTGCTCTGATCAACTATCTTTGTCTCTTCTAGATGCAAGAAGGAATCTATAAATACTTATATATTGGTGTTACTTAAACACAGAATATTACACGTGGGCTACACAGCAGAACCTTTGCAATCAGGGTGGTACCACTGAATCTAGTACAAACGGTTGCTTTTGTGCTTTATAACAATACTGCATTTGAATTATACTGAGTACGTAAAATATGTAGCCTTTAAATTGAAGGATGGTGATGGCCAGACATCAAATAGAGCAGAGGCTGGCAAACTGTTTCTGAAAAGGGCCAAAGAGTAAATAGGTGAGGCTTTGCAAATCATTTGTTCTCTGTTAGAACTACTCAGCTTGGTTGTTGCCACATGAAAAAAAAACTATAGACAGGAGATGCATGTGTGCAGCTATTTTCTGATAAAACTTCGTGACTACTTACATTTGAATTTTATATAATTCATGGCACAAATTTATGGTACAAAAATATTCTCCTGATTTTTCTCAACTATTTAAAAATGTGAAGCCACTGAGCACAGTGGCACACACACTTGTAACCCCAGGGACTTGGGAGGCTAAGGCAGGAGGATCTTAAGTTCAAGGCCAGTTTGGGCAACTTCAAGACCCTGTCTCAAAATTAAAAATCAAAAGGACTGGGGGTATGGTTCAGTAGTAATGTACCACTGGGTTCAATCCCTAGTACCACGGGGTAGATGGGAATGTGGGGGTAGGGGGTGGCGTGGAGAAGGAGAAAGAAAGAAAAGAAAAATGTGAAGCCATGTATACTTTGTGGTGTGTAGAAAAAAGACCATGGGCTGCATTTGGCCTATGAGTCAGGATTCCCTGACTCCTGATACTGTGAATTAGTAAGTTAAGGACCTGAACTCAGAAGACAGAAGATGTCATACACATTTCTTGGATCTACTTTCTTTCTCCAGCTATTAAATCTTTCAAATATTATCCAGGCACGGTGGTGCACCCCTGTTATCCAAGTGACTTGGGAAGCTGAGTCGAGAGGATCACCAGTTTTAGGCTAGCCTGGGAAACTTAATGAGACTCTGTCTCAAAGTAAGAAATTAAAAGAGGGCTCATGGTGTAGCTTAGTGGTAGTGTAACTCTGGGTTTAATTCTCAGTACTGACAAGGAAAAAAATCTTCTAAATATCATTCATGGTTGTGGTTTGAGTGTTTGCTCCTTGAGGGAGTAAATGAGTATCTTAGGAAGCAGATGTGAGGGGATCTATAAACAAAAATTTACTCCTGATGACGGAACCTTACATTTGTGAAGAGCTCAGAACCACTCACTGGCTGTAATATATATATATATATTTAAAACTCATATAAAATTAAACTTGCCATGAAAACAATTAAAATGTGCTCTCTTAGCAATTTTCAAGTATAAAAAGACTTGCTCGCTGTAGTACCATGCTGCACAATGGACCCCTTCAACATAGTCCTCCTTTCTAAATGATTTATTTTTTAATCCTTTGACTAACATCTCTCCGATCTCCAGCCCTTGGGAACTACCATTCTACTCTCTGTTTGTATGAGTTCCACTTTTTTAGATGCCATCTCTAAGGAGATCATGCAGTATTTGTCTTTCTATGCCTGGTTTATTTTACTTATTATAATGTCTTCCAGGTTCATCCAGGTTGTCACAACTGACAGTGGTTTCCTTCTTTGTTGAGGCTGAATGGTATTCCATTGTGTATGTGGTCCACATTTGGTGTATTTATTTCTCTGTTGATGGACACTTGGGTTTTTTGCATTTCTTGGCTATTGTGAAAGTGCTGCAATGAACACAGAAGTGCAGACGTCTGTTTGACATTCTGATTTCATTTTCTCTCTCTATATATACCTGGTAGTGGGATTGCTGGATGGCACAGTAATTCTATTTTTTTATTTTTTATTTTTTTGTAGTTGGACCGAATGCCTTTATTTTATTTGTTAATTTTTATGTGGTGCTGAGGATCGAACCCAGTGCCTCACGCATGCTAGGCAAGCACTTTGCCACTGAGCTACATCCCCCAACCCACGGTAATTCTATTTTGAAGTAGAAATAAATGATAAGTATATGAAGTTAAAAAGAGAAAAGTCCAGTGTCATTAGCTTCTGCACTATCTCCTTATATTTGTAGTCTAAAAGAGTTGAACTCCAAGAAGCAGAGAGGAGAATGGCAGTTTCCAGGGGCTGGCAAGAGCCCAGGGAGATTGAGGAGAGATTAGTCAAAGGATAAAACAAAAATCACTTTGGCATATGCACTTATTTTTGTTTGTTTGTTTGTTTGGGGGATATCACGGATTGAACTCAGGGGCACTTGACCACTGAGTCACATCCCCAGATCTATTTTGTATTTTATTTAGAGACAGGGTCTTACTGAGTTGCTTAGTGCATCACTTTTGCTGAAGCTGGCTTTGAACTTGTGATCCTCCTGCCCCAGTCTCCTGAGCTGCTGGGATTTCAGACATGTGCCACCACACCCTGCTGCACTTACTTGACATTTTAAAAGTGAACACTAACATTTCCTTTTCATTAGAATTCTTACTTTATCATTATGGGATTATAGTTTTTAGAGTGTAATTTTGGAAGCATATTTTCACCATGATAATAAATATGCCATTCTATGGCTTCTATTTTAAGTATCCAATGATTAGGTACAAATATAATAGTCCCCCTTTCTACTATTTAGTTTTAAAGGCGGAAATAAAATGACATGTACTAGAAGCACTATTTGTAAGAGCCGAAACTATAAACAACACAAATGCTCATAAATAGTAATTTACAAATTAAAATGTGACCTATGTACATAATAGAAAGCAATATAGCAATAAAATGAATGACCTACAACTACACCCCAAAAATATAAATGCATCTCACAAACAGTATTGTGAGAAACAATTCAGAAAAAATAGTATATACAGTCTGATGCAATTTTTTGAGAGGCAAAAATAAAGGATGGCTGCTTTTGGATTATTTAATGGAAAGTAGCAAAGTATGTGTGTGGAGGGGGCTTTTAGGGATCCTGATAACATCCTGTTCCTTAATCTGGGTGCTAATTACAAGGGAGTGTGCTTATTTTGCAAAAACTCTTCAGGCTGCACATTATAAAATGTGCACTTTTCTGTGTGCATGTTTTAAGTCAATAAAAAAATTAAAGGGAGAAAAAATCATCTTGCTAAATCTTTAGCCTTTAAATGTTTCTTAAGATGAAGAAATAGTGTGGACAAAAGAAAGTTTTGTTCTTCAAATGGTGATCTTTTGAAATATTTTGGCTGTGACTCTTTCTATAAAAGCAAAGTCATGACTCAGAAAGAAAATGCTGTTAGAGAGAAGCTATCAGGGACCAAACCTTGTCTTTGAAAATGACTCTCCAGGAATCCCCGGTGCGTGCAAATCTCCACTTCTCCAACTGGCTTCTGGAGCAACCACCTCTCAGTACTGCTTCACCAAGTAATTCAAAGAAACAGATATCACTGGTTTCCATTGAAGTTTCTTCTGTATAAAATGCTTTGTTTGTTCCTTTTATTATTCTTGTGTTCTTAATCTCAGAGGCATAGCTTGATTTTTTCTTCCCCTTTTTTCCCTTTCTCAATCTCAGATGTCAAAAACTGACCTCAATGCCAATTTCCCACCTCTGATGTCATTCTCTGTGTCTGACGTCTCTGCAGGGGAGGCAGGAAGGAGGACTGGAGCAGCCAGAATGCAGAGTGGGGATACCCCCTTCTAACGCACATTGTCCCTGAGTGGGTTCAACACACCAATGTAGTGCAGGCTTTCAAAAAGGGAGAATTAAAAAAGAAATTGGCAGACATGTATCTGTGGTGTCTGATTCATCAGTAGTACAACACTCCCAGGAGAACCCAGCGGAATTGGAAATCAGATTCTGTTCGCTCAGTTACATCTATAGCTTCCTGGATGGTACAGTCCCTGTACATACACCAGGAATCTCCGCTGATTTAAAGAAAATTTAATTTCCTATGTATGTTTATTTAAAAATTTTACTGTACTTAAGCTGGATTTCCTCATGTATATGTAAATATTCTGAATATTTTAAATGTATTAGTAAATATCAATTGATAAAAGTTACAAGAGATCCTTTCTTTTCTTTAATCTTTCAGTATCCCATGAGACTCTGATTCTTGCATGGGCTGAAGCACTCCTGGCAGCCTCCACGTTCTGCTAAAAGAGAAATTTAAGAGATGGGAGTTGAGAAAAAGTCAGAGGTGATCAAAAACTTCCTGCTTCACTGATGCTACTAATTTTTCAAATAATTTATTACTGTTGATGCTGTGGGGAAGAAAAGCTATTTAGTATCAATAACTTACCCAGGGGGAAAAAAAAAGAATGAAAGCAGCTGATCTTACTTCCATGAGGCAAGTTCCATAATATAGGAACATCTCTTTTGTGTCAGATCTTCTGTGGTGCACTAATCCAACGAGATGACAAACTCTAGTCCCCAGAAATATGCTATTAGCCTCTAAACATGGTAATAAAAGGACAAATCAGTGCCCAGATTGTGCATCTGAAGCAAGGGGCTGGCTCTGGTGCTTTAAGACACAGGAGACCCCTGGGCTCCCACTCTGACCTCACCACTCCCCAGGTGAGTACCTGCCTCTTCCACTTGAATGGGGATGGGTGTAGGCTGACATTCACCTTCCCTTCACCGTGGTTAGGGATTCCTGATTCAGGTACTCTAAGTCTTCAGCCCTTCTAGCCTTCATTTCCTCTGCCTGAAGGAAAAGAATCAGAAACTTAGTTGACTTAACTATTTCAATATTTTCCTGCAAAGGAGATATGTATACAGTGAAAGCAAAGAAAGAAAAAGACATGAAAACTTGAAATGTAGGAAAGGAGAACACCAATATAAAATTAGGTGTATTCTCTTTAAAGATCAGGACATTTCTTATCACCATACCATTCAACATTGAACTAGTCAAGATACATAAATGAGACTGGAAAGAAAGATAGAATTTCTTTATTTGTGGATTATATGACCATCTACCTAAAATGTGAAAGATAATCAACTATGTGCATCAATGAGAGTTTGGCAAGTGATCAGACCCAAGAAAAAACATTTAGAAAAAGTGAGCAAAAACCCAATGATATGATGCACTCAAAAAATAATTATATAATAATGCAATAAATGGAGAAAATTTGTCTTGTTTCTTTCTGGCTATACTCTTCAGATTCAAAAGACTCCAAAAGTTATAATGACTTGTCATCTTCTTTAATAGTTAAAATTCTCTCTTTTGCCTTCTTTCCAGGTGATTTACCTCCCCTCCCCCAAGGCTAGGGATTAAATCCAGGGCCTCACATACCCTAGGCAAGTACTTGACCACTGAGCTATCCCCAGTCCCCCGGCTTGTGATTTACTTTTTCAAACATATTCTATACATAACAGTCTTCACCAAACTTCCTACATATGCACAAGCTTTATTTCAACAGTCTGGGTACTTTCCCTTTTTCTGCCTTCCTCTTTGACACATCTTTCTTGTATCTTGGCTTTGGATATGGATGGAACTTGACACTTGTTTATATTTTTCCCTGGGCAATGTTCTTAATTGCTTGTTTTGTTTAACTGAGAAGATCACTGGCTTTAAATTCAGATGTATATGGCTAATTATTGAACCTCTTTGAATCTCAGCTTCTCATCTGTGAAATGAGAGTGACAATAACCACCACATTGGATTTCTGTGATGATTAAATAAATGCAATTGATATATCTGAAGTGCCTGGTAGAGAAGATGGGCGTTACACATTCAGGTCAGGCCTTGAGGGTCAACCACTCCCACTACCCCTCATTCTTGCCAAAAGAATCATTCAAATTAAAGTTAAAATGAAGTTATTAGTTTGATATAATTTGTGTCAGGTCAGACAACTAAGGGTAAACATTTTAAAATCAAACAATTTATGCTCATGTTTATTTTATTTTTGGTGAAGTATAATGTATATACAGAAAGGTATTCAAATCCTAAATATGCAGCTCAATTACTTTTTATATGTATTTTCTGCTCCCTCACTTCCCAGTCAATAATGGGTATACTCCAGAATGCTCATATACTAACTTAGTGGGAAACACAAAGAAGCATAAGATATAGGGCCTGTCCCGGCAGGTGATCTCTGTCCTCAAGGACTACCTGACTTGTATTGTCTTGGCTAGGTCATGACACCTCACTGTGTCAATCCTTGGGCTATAGATGAGATTTGACATGAAGTGATGTTCAGCAGACCAGGTGGGAAGTTTTAGTAAATGTCATTGACAGGACATTTGTGAATGGAAAGCAGCTTCTGTGTTATTGTGCCCACTACCGCTTTTATGGGGTTTCCACTCTCTATAGGCCCCCAATATTACGTTAAGCCTTGGATTCTATCTAAGGAGGTTGAAGATGAATTGCACTTGATATCGCTTGATACTTCTCTTCTGTGGCCTGGTTTTCAAACCAAGTTTCCACAAGAGTGAGTTGTTACAAAAAAGAGTGATCCTGCTGCCTCTCCAGTCTCTTGCTTGCAGGTGCACCCCTTCTGCATTTAGCAGCTTCCCTTTTTGTTCCTTCACCATGCTGTGACAGAGCCAGAGAAACCTGTGTGAGGAGATGGATGTTATGCTGTTGGACCCCCCCAGTCACCACAATCATGAGTTAAATAAACCTCTTTTCTTTACACATTACCCATCATTGAGTATTTTGTTATAGCAATACGAAACAGACCTCACAGACTTCCCACACCTACATCAACCTGCTACCTGCTCCTCTTTCAGCATTTCTTTTGTGAGCAGTTACTGATTTTTCTACACTAGAAACTAAGGAATCATCCTTGATTACTTCCTCTCATCCACACTCCATGTCCCCAATTTTTCTATATTGCTATTGCACAGATATTTTCCAACTACCTTCAAGACGTGGAAAACTACAGTGTTCCCTCCATTCTACTTTCCTTCCAATTTTCTGCACAGCATCCAGAGTGATCCCACTGTTATAACAATGAACAAATTCTTCAATGTGGGTGTATCTTGCTTCCCTTCCCTTCTCTCATGCTATCTTCATCCTCTGAGCTCCAGCCCACTGGTCTGCTTTCAGTTCTTTAAAACATCATTCTCCTTCTGCTATTGGACTTTCACACATACTTTTCCTTTTGAATGGAAAAATGCTTTCTTTTTATTAAAAAAAATCATTTTCTGCAGATAGATTAGCTTAAATGTCAGTTCCCCGGGGGAAGCACCCCCAACTTTCCCATATAGGTCAAATTTCTCCATGATACATCCCAAGAGCAACTTGTTCTTTTCTTTCAAAGCACTTGATTTGGATTTTCATAATATTTATTTGTTTGGGACTAATTTTTTTTAGCTGGAAATTTATCTCCTTCATTTGACTATGAACTCTATACTATTGAGACAGATCTATTTTTTTACATAGAGTTTTGTATTTACAAGGACCACTATATGCATGATAAGCACTAAACAAAATATAGTGAGCCATTGATACAAAGTGACTATAATTGAGGTCAGGTCCTGTGATCACTTGGAAAGTTGGAATCTCTTTTTTCCTTTCAGTGTCTAAAGCTTGCTCTTATATTTATTGTTCCACTGAAGGCTAAGAAGTAGAGTCTCTTCCTGGAGTTTTGCAAATATAAAAGAGCCATGAATGTCGGGAGGGCAGTGGTGATTGGGGAGGAGGTCCTTTCCTCCTGGCTCCTGGTCTTTAGTTGTGATGCCAGATTCCTTAAATTGGTGCTATTCAAACTTCATCAAGCAAAAGAATTAACAAGAGCACTTGTCAAAACATAGATTTCTGGACTGGGGATATAGCTCAGTTGGTAGAGTGCTTGCCTTACATGCACAAGGCCCTGGGTTCAATCCCCAGCACCACCAATAAATAAATAAATAAATAGATAGATAAAGAAAGAAAGAAAGTGCTAAGGCTGTGGCTCAGTGGTTAAGTGCCCTTGGGTTCAATCCCTAGTACCGAAAAGAAAACAACAACAACAAAAAACCAAACTATAGATTTTTATGACCTACCCTCAGAGTTTCTGATTCAGTAATTGGGGGATCAGGCCTGAGAATCTGCATTCTAAGTTCCCAGGCCACGCTCATGCTGTGGGTATAGGACCACTCTTAGAGGACCACTGCTATAAGCAGTTCCAGCATGAAACCCAGCTCCAGACTGATTTCCTTCATGCAATAGGGCTCTCATTCCAAGGCCTGCTTGTCTTAGTGATTCCATAAGTTCATGGGGTTGAAGAATTGGACTTTGGTGGGCAGCATGTGATTCCTTGATGACTCCACAGTTGGAGAGTCCTGAGTGACTCATGATCTTATCAATATGACACCTCTCTGGGATATCGCCAATAAGTAATCACGTTATCAGTACTGCATCTCCAGGTGTTTCAAGAAATATAGTGTATTAATTAGAGTGTGTAAAGGAAAGGGAGGAAAAACAACAGATGATCCTCTGGGCAGACTAGCAGATGAGGAGTGTGACAGCATCCCTTGGCAGGGGCAGGCCACCCACTGTGGCTCAAGGGAAGTTGATGCAAGCCAGCCAAGAGGAATGGAGCCTGGGGAAGCTGAGAGATGAGCTCAGGTAGGAGCAGCCCTTTGCAGGAGAAGTGGAATTTTAGTCTAGTGATCTCTTAGTCTGTATGTCAAGAGATTTAAAAGAACACAGGTATGAAGACAGTGATGTGGCGTTGTACACAAATCATTGGCTGAAGGACGTTTTGAAGAACAACTGTGGCTGCAGTTTTGCCAATTACTCAACATTTCTGGGCTTCAATTCCTTCATCCATAAAAATGAGGTTAGTCTAGATCAACGTTAGTGAAGTTTTTCTATACAGGGTCAAGTAGTAAATATTTTTAGGATCTGTGGGCCATACAGTCTGTTGCACAACCACTGAACTCTCTGCTGCTTAAGTAAAAAGAGACTTAAGACACTATGCAAATGTATGGGTGTGGCTATGCCCTAATGATGCTCTATTTACAAAATAGGTAATAGATGGAACTCAGTTACAGGTTGCAGATGATTAGTATTTGAATTTCTTTTTTCTTTTGGATCATACCCTCCTATAGTAAAAACCATTACCTAGTGCACACATTTTGATAAGTGTATACTAATTAAAAAATAATATATATATCTGTAATGTTCTGATATGTGTATTATAAAACAGACTCCTAAAATAAAAATTTAAAAGGGATATGATAAAATAAATAAAAACAGATGATTCCCCC